GGGAGTTGAAGTCCACGAGTCATAAAAAAGCCAAAGTTGCCTACCCCTGCCCTAGACCTACTGGGACCAGACATTTTGAGGACCTCATGTCCCTTCATATTCTTTTTCCAACCTACCCCTGTACAAGGTAAACCTTTCTTTTTCAGAAAACTTAAAAAAAAAACTCCTGGACTTACAACCATTCATTTAGTGAATGTTCAAAGTTACAACGGCACTGGAAAAAATGACTTACGACCGGTTTTCACACTTACGACCATTGTAGCATCCTCATGATCATGTGATCAAAATTTGGGTGCTTGGCAACTGGCAAGTACTTATGACAGTTGCACTGTCTTGGGGTCACGTAATCACCATCTAGAACCTTCCCAGCTGGCTTCCGACAAGCATAGTCAATGGGGGGGGGACCAGATTTGCTTAACAGCCCCATGATTCACTTAACAACTGCAATGATTCGCTTAACAACTGTGGCCAAAAAGATTGTAAAATATAGCAAAACTCACAATGCCCTCCCTAGCCCTGAAAATTTGGGGCTCAATTGTGATTGTAAGTTGAGGATTATCTGTACTGCCCTGACTAAAATTTGGCCATTTCATTCTACCAGTGCATTTTCCTCTTCTAAGAGATATAGGTAGTCCTTGATTTACAACCATTTGTTTCATGACCGTTCGAAGTTATAACAGCACTGAAAGAAGGGATTTACAACCGGTCCTTGCACATCTGGCATGTATTTATGATGGTTGTGGTGTCCTGGGGTCCTGAGACTGTCATTTGCAACCTTCTTAATGAGCTTCAAACAAGGAAAGTCAACAGGGGAAGACACATTGTCTTAACGACTGCATGATTCACTTAACAACTGTGGCCAAAAAGAAGATTGTAAAATTGCAAGTCATTTAACAACTGGCTTGCTTAGAAACAGAAATTCTGGTTCCAATTGTGGTTGTAAGTTGAGAACCACCTATACTTCTCTTTTGCTGGATCTTCTCTCCAGGTCAGCGTGAGAATGCAATCAAACAGCAGCTAGCCAACTTGAGCTGATCTCAAAAACATAAGCCAAGTGAAATCCTGTTAGTACAAAGGAAAAATCAAAGGTACAAGTACAGATTGGGTGAGACCCGCCTCAAAAACAGCAACTGTGAGAAGGACCTTGGAGTCCCAGTGCACGATCACTTGACTATGAGCCAGCAGTATGCAGACGCCGCATCCGTCTGTATATTTGTAAGTTCAGGGATCACATCTTCTTGTCGCTCTCTTTGCCCACTTTGGACGTATCTGGGTACACTTTGCTATAGGATGATCCCCCAGTGCCTCCTGTCTTGTGGCCACCCCTTGTGAGTGTGGCACCCCGCCTTCCATCATTGACTCCTGTACTGGGGATTTCTCCCCTTTGCCGGTTGTATTTCTTTGCTGTTGCATGAGACAGCGGTTCTGGTGTTGCGTAGGCTGCACCCGTTGCACTCATTGTGAGTTGTTATGTTGTTGTTCCCACTTCCTTAGTGCCTGATAAGCAGGCAGTAACTCTATGTGGTGATTAATTGAATGTTCATCCGACAGCCAAGCCTCCTTCAGTAACCGGCCAAGTGGCTCTTTGAGTGTTTTGGGTTGCCTACCCCTGGGCTAGTCTAAAGAAAAGAAGAAATAGGGGAGACATGATAGCAGTGTTCCAGTATTTGAGGGGCTGCCACAAAGAAGAGGGGGTCAGGTTGTTCACCAAAGCACCAGAGGGCAGGACAAGAAACAATGGTTGGAAACTGATCCAAGAGAGAAACAACCTGGAATTAAGGAGAAACTTCCTGACAGTGAGGACAATTAACCTGTGGAATAGCTTGCCTCCAGAAATCGTGGGCACTCCATCATTGGAGATTTTTAAAAAGAGGCCATACAGTCACTTGTCTCAGATGGTATAGGTTCTCCTGCTTGAGCAGGGGGCTGGACTAGAAGACCTCCAAGGTCCCTTCCAGCTCTATTCTACTCTATCTCAGCCTAGAACCGTAAGATGAAAAAAAAACCCACACCAAACCCTTTCTGTGTTGCAAGAAAAAAATGAATATTCCCATTGTGAGGAGACAAGCCACATTTCTTGTAACTTTGCCTGTCCTGAAGCAGTGGAGGAAGAGTCACCATTTGATCATGGACATCGGGGAAGGGGAGGAAAAGCGTACGATGTAGGTCAAAGCTTGTCTGTCTACCTGCCCTGTCACAACCGGTTCTCCTGAAATTGACTGTGTTTATAGTGAGGACAAAGCCATGTCCAGAAACATAACAGAGTGAACCTGCTCAGTAACCATCAAAGGCATATTTCTATTTACCAGAAAGGGAAGAGACGACAGAGGCAGGATTTCTTCCTCAGAAGGAGCTTATTGGGAAAGAACAGAGAGAAAAGTCCGTAAAAGTACATTCTCCGACATGGAGCCCTAGCTGCCAGAATGGAACTGTTCATATAGGGTCCTTGGTGATCTCTGAGTTTGGTTGTTTTCTTGCAGTTTCATTACCTAACTAGGTAATCTCATCAGTCCTGCCTGTAATAGTGATGATGTTACTTTGCTGGGTAATGAAAGTCTGCAAGAAAACAACCAAGCTCAGAATAAGCAGAAATTGTATTTAACTTTACCTATTACCACAGCAGCGAGAACAATTTTTGCACAATATTGGAAGAATGAAGGATTGCCATCAGAGGAAGAAATAATTACGAAAATATTGGAATGTGCAGAGATGGACAGACTAACTATAAGGCTGAAAGACAAAGAAGATACGGACTACTATCAAATTTGGAATTTATTTTATTCTTGGTTAGAGAAAAGCACCTGAAGGCAGGACAAGAAGCAATGGGTGGAAACTAATCAAGGAGAGAAGCAACCTAGAACTAAGGAGAAACTTCCTGACAGTGAGAACAATTAATCAGTGGAACAGCCTGCCTCCAGAAGCAGTAAATGCTCCAACACTGGAAGTTTTTAAGAAGAGACTGGACAGCCATTTGTCCAAAATGGTGTAGGGTTTCCTGCCTGAGCAGGGGGTTGGACTAGATGACCTCCAAGGTCCCTTCCAACCTTACTACTATTACTATTACTAAAAGAATGAAGGATTAGGAATTGAACAGGTATTAGCTTAGCAAACTCCAGACAACTTGTTGACTGGAAAAATTAACATATGTTGATGAAAAAAAAATTAATAAAAAAGATTGATAAAAAAAAAAGAAAACAACCAAGCTCAGAGAGCATCCAGGACCCCTCAGTTCAACCCTGAGCTACAAAAGTTCTATTCTACTGAAACGGTTTTATCTGTTAAGACCCCCTGCTTTGGGTGGGGAATGGCAAACCATGATCATAAACTGGGGAAGATTAAAATTAAAATTATAAGTCTGTAGGATGGAAAATCCCTGACCGTATCATTAGACAAGGGAAATTAGGAAAAAGTGACTGGAGGATAATCATATTAACTATATATATTTAATTTGAATTAAGCTTAAAGATAAGTACACGTAGTCCTTGACTTACAGCCATTCATTTAGCGACTGTTCAGAGTTACAGCAACGTTGAAAAAAGTAACTTACCGCTGGTCCTCACACTTGTAACTGTTGCAGTGTCTTGTAGTCCAAAATTCGGACCCTTAGCAACTGACATATTTTTATGACAGTTATAGCACCCTGGGGTCGTATGTTCTCCATTTGCGGCCGTCCCAGCTGGCTTCCAGAAAACAAAGTCAATGGGGGCAGGGGAAGCTGGGTTCACTTAACAACCGTATGGTTCACTTAACATCTGGATGATTCACTTAACAACTATGGCAAAAGGGTTGTAAAATTGGATGTAACTTACTTAGCAACCACCTTGCTTAACGATGGTAATTCCGATCCCAGTTGTGGGCTATAATTACAGTTGACTAGTTGTAATACGAAATATACAGTGCTTGCTCAGATAGACATTCCCAGTTCTTTTCCTTGATTTCCTGACAGCTCAGACTTCATTCTTGAAGTCTCTGAAAGCTGAAAATAATCCAGTCTGTAAACCCAAATGGATCAGGGAATAATTCCCGGGATTTTTATTCCATCCGGGGAGAAAGTGAGGTGGATTGTAGGGTTATTAGTTATTTTATGCATCCTTATTCCTTTATTTTGCAGATAACATCGAACAAAGTGGTGAAAAGATTTTTTTTTTACTGATTCAAATACTTTAGGAAACCCGCCCAAACATCACTGTGCATGATCTAATATTTTTGTTTTAAATCATTCTGGGGAACTGGCAACCCAGCATGACTTGGCACTATTTTGGGGTTATTTCTGAAAAGGAAGTAAGGATTTTAAATATATAACACAGGAAGAATGATAAATGGACTTCTAGAACCACTGAACAATAGCTGATGAAGAGTTAGGTGGAAGCCAATGTTGGTTATTTTTGAGACTTCTGTAATTTTAAGAGTAGTCTCCCCCTCAGCAGGACACAGAAAAGTGTGACCACACACTCAAGATGGTTTTGCACCACATTTCTCTTTGCCAGTTCAGAGGGAAATGCCCAGGCAGCCTTCTAACAAAATAAAGAAAATTAGAAATCGTAGTTGCTGCTGGAAATCAACCAGTCAACCTTCTCTGGGAAGTAACCACATTGGATTAAAACAGGGGAGCGGACAGATTTTTAATTAAAGAAAAATAGTCCACCCCTTTCTATAGTGTTGATAGCAAGCTCCTATATATCTCTGAAGGGAAAACAGCCTTCAGAGGTTACATCCAGACCTGGATCCCAACAAGACCAGGAAAGGGAAGATGAACAGATTGTCCTTACTTAAATGATTTCCTAAGAATTGTGTAACTCCTACTTGCTCACTCATCCCTCCCTTGCATACGTATGCTAGCTAGGAGTCTGTAGCCTTTTTGACCTGATTCTCTTTCCTTTCCTTCGCTGTAATTCACCCTCCTTTGCTGGTAATTCCACCCGCCCCAGTAACAAGCTGGGTGGTGACCTTATTGCATGCACATACACACACACACACACACACACACACACACACACACACACACACACACGAACAGAGACACACATATAAAAAGAAGCTAGGATGCTTCTACCATCATCTCTGTCACCTTGTCCAGCAGGACAGAAAGAGACATTCACCAGACAGGTGAGCTTTCCAGTGGTGGGGTTTTAAATGACAAAAGATGGGCTAGAAACCTGGATGAGTTGGGCGACTGAGGCTGTGAGAGTTATTGCTTTATTTTGTGATAGATCATGAATGGGGAAGATTTTGGATGTCTGGCTATTTTTAGTAGTGCTCAAGGCACTCTGCACACAGGAATGGTCCGACACTGGAGGTTTTTAAGGAGAGGTTGGACAACCATTTGTCTGGAATGGCATCAGGTTTCCTACCTGAACAGGGGGTTGGACTAGAAGACTTCCAAGGTCCCTTCCGACTCTGTTATTCTATGTTTTACTAAGAAAATAAATGGGATTTGGGACCGGTCCAGGGACCCCATAGCCTCTTTCTTAGAATGAAATAGAGACACAAGAGCCAGTATGTTGTGATGGTTAAGGTGCTGAGCTACAAACTAAGGAGACTGGGAATTCTAGTCCTGCCTTAGACATGACAACCAACTAGGTGACTTTGAGCCAGTCACTCACTCCACCTCACAGGTTTGTTGTTATGGGGAAAATAGGAGGAGGAAGGAATATTAGAAATGTTTGCTGCCTTGAATTTATTTATTTATGTCCCACGTTTATTATTCTTACAAATAACACACAAGTAGTAAAAGAGGATAAAAGTTAAAGAAATAAATATATCAAACCCTCCTTGATGTATAGAAATAAAGCATGAATAAATGAATACCAAATAAATAAATAAATAAATAAATAAATAAATAAATAAATGTATCAAATTCTCCTTGGTGTATAGAAATAACAAAGTAACAGAACAGAATAACAGAGTTGGAAGGGACCTTGGAGGTCATCTAGTCCAACCCCCTGCACGAGCAGGAGATGCTATATCATTCCAGATAAATGGCCATCCAATCTCTTTTTAAAAAGCCTCCAGTGATGGAGCACTCACAGCTTCTGAAGGCAAGCCATTCCACTGATTAATGATTCTCACCCTTAGGAAATTTCTCCTTAATTCTAGGTTGTTTCTCTCCTTGAGTAGTTTCCACCCATTGGTTCTTGTCTTGCCTTCTGGTGCTTTGGAAAATAGTTTGCCCCCCAGCCCCTCATCTTTGTGGCAGCCCCTCAAATACTGCTATCAAATAAAGCATGGAAGCAATCTCGTTTTTCCTGTCGCTTATTCTGAACATAAAAATGTTGAGAGCACAAGGATGCGGAACAGAGAAGCGTTGTTTAGCAAATTGGTTCCCTGTGAATTTGTCTCATATGTTTGTTATCACATCTTGTGTTAAGGAGGTCAGGAAGTTAATTAGATCTCCGCACTGTTATCATTCCTCCTATCTAACATTTAGCCTTGCCTTTTTTTAAAATAAGTTTCAGCTTATTACAGTGCTCACTCCTAAAGGTTTTCTGATGTTTACAGAAAATTTTCCTCTGTTGCAACAGCTCCTTATCAATGGTCTCATCATCACACGTTCTTTGTTGTTACATAAGTGTTTGCTTTGTGCTGTTGAAGTCAGTTGTGGCTTCTGGTGCCCATGCAAATCTGTATGAGAAATCATGCGTCCAATCATAGATTATTCTTTCAAAATTTGGCAACCAAACCACTCCACCCAAAGTACCATGCGGCTTACCTGGCTATTCTGGTGCCAGAATTGAACATTGGGCCATGACAACTGATTATATGTACATCTTATATTGTTTATGTACATCATTTTTGTTTATAGCTGCCTCAGCAGCCCATGAAGCCTCTTTCATATTTTAAAGGAAAACCAACAATTGCAAAAAACCAACTGCAATCAGTTGCTGTTAATCCTGTTTTCAAAAGATTCTAGCACTCAGCATTACTATGGGGAGTAATTTGCAATCATTTTAATTTTAAAGGTTTAAAACAACTGCAGGAAAGATTGTTCAGCCACTAAGTTTACCAAGTATATGTTCACAAACTTGATATAATGTCTAATATACGTGATGGTTGTTATTATTAATCATACTCTGAGACTTGATTTTTCTTTTGAACAAAGTTTCAGGTCACGCTTACGTTCTCATAAATGATTTCTAATATATAAAATTCTGCTTCCTTGCCACAATCGTGACAGTTCTATGTTGATGGTCTCATGGAAATAATTATACTACTAGTATTACTGCTACCATTTGTTTATATTACTATTATTATTACTGCTATATAAGTGCTACTATAGTATAGGGGTGTCAAACTCAATTTCATTGAGGGCCGCATCAGCATTGCGGTTTCCCTCGGGGCGGCTGGGTGGGTGTGGCCAGGGTGGGTGCAGCCTACTGGGTGGGTGTGGATGGAGTGGGTGTGGCCTACTGGGTGGGCATGGCCAGCTCTACATTGTTCGGGTCAAGGGTGCCTGTGGGGGCCTGGGCAGGAGTGGGACAGATCTGAGGGTCTCTGGCAGAAGGCGGTGGGACTGGGGCAAGCATGGTCCATTTCTTCATTCCTCACAAAGGGTGACACCTCCCCAGCATGCACCCAGGGGGCGGGGTCGACACGGCAGGGGCTGGTTCCTCGCTGTTTCTAGACGGCCTTGTGGAGCTAAGACTAAATGTGTTTCAGCATAGATGGCCACTACAAAAGTGTACATTGGCTCCCAGCCGGCCAGGGCCAAGGCAGAGGGGGCCATTCCCTCACTGTTTCCAGGATGGCTTCACGGGCCACATGAAACCACTTCACGGGCTGCATCTGGCCCCCGGGCCTTATGTTTGACATGTCTGCTATAGTACATATCAGAATTTCTCAATGTTGGCTACTTGAAGATGTGTGGGCTTCAATTCTGGGAGGCTGGGGAATTCTGGGATTTAAAATCTACACATCTTCAAGCTGACAGGATAACACTGGTTCATATACCTCTGCTATTAATTATAATAGAATTTAGACTTATATGCCGCCCCGTAGTGCTTTACAGCACTTTCTGGGCAGTTTACAATGTTTACAATATTGCCCCCAACAATCTGTATCCTCATTTTACTGACCTTGGAAGGATGGAAGGCCTGAGTTAACCTTGAGGCTGTAAAGATCAAACTCCAAGTTGTGGGTGGATTTAGCATGCAATATTGCATTCTAACCATCACACCCCCAGGGCTCCTATTACTATTGTTTGCCTTATGGATTAATCGGCCTACACTTTTCCCCATAGCTGGACAAAATCCCATCCCATGGATTCTCTCAAGATACTCACAACCCTCGCGATGGTCTTTTGGCTTCCAGGCAGATGCTATGCCAGTTCTGATGGTAATATCACCCTAAAGTGCCTTGTTTGGGGCGGGGGGGGGGGGAATGAAAGGCCAGAAACCCCCTCCAGAGTGCAACTAAATCCACTTGGATGGATTTGGCTCACCAGCCTCTGAAAGCTAACAAGATTGAGCCTGGTTTGGACTCAGATGGGAAATGTAGGCTGGAGATGAACTGGGGAAAAACTGGGAAAAGCTAGTGACTAATCAAGGTTAGTTTGGCAGGGGGAGCGTTAAGAAAAATGCATGGAAGTTAGAAGGATTATAGCTGGATTCAAGACATCCTGGCAGGTGCAAAGAATCAGGAGCATACATTAAGTTGCAGTTCAGAAGATTTCATGCTCAAGCCTGTTCACAAGAATCTGGTCCACTAAAATTCAGCCCTAAATTGGCACCAGAATGGAATTTAAGATGGGTTGGACTTAAGCTTGATTTCGAATTGTCCGCAACTGCACATGGGTGTCGACACCTACCTAGGCTGTGAAAGGGTGGACGGACAAGCGTAGGTTGCAGACAACGGCAGACAGCTGCACACGTACATCTCCCAAATGTCAGCCGCTGTGGAAATGCACATCCTGCATGCTGATAGGCGGAACTGATTTCCCATTGAGGGGAGGGTGGAAGGCAGGCAAATTCCACCGACGTTAAAATTTGCAGGAGTACAGGTAGTCCTCAACTTACAATAGTTCATTTACTGAACAAAAGTGACTTATGACCATTTTTCACACTTAACGATTTTGCAGCATTCCCATGGTCACATGATCAGAATTCAGACGCTTGGCAACTGACTCATATTAATGACGGTTGCTGTCCCAAGGTTTTGCGACCTTCTGGCAAGCAAAGTCAAAGGGGAAGGCAGATTCACTTAACAACCGTGTTACTCATCTAACAGCTTCGGCGATTCACTTAACAACTGAGGCAAGAAAGGTCCTAGAATCAATCAAAACTCATTTAACAAATGTCTCACTTAACAACAGAAATTTTGGGCTCAATTGTGGTCGTAAAGTCAAGGGCTACCTGCATAAATGCAACAGTTGTGCAGCCATCTCTGAACAACAGATGCATACGTTCCCTGATGTGCCCTAATGCAGAAGTCTAACCAAAACTTTAGAATGTTTTTGAGAATATAAGGATTCTAGGCTAATGCCTCATTTAACTCTGCCCCTCAGCTCTGCCTGTTCTTATCCTACACATCCTTACTGTTAGCTACAGAGGTATTTGCAGGTGTGGTCCAAAACAAAGCAAAGCTTTGATTATGGTGGCCATTTTGACTTTTTTGCCATATTTAAAGACACCCTAATTCCAAAAATTATTTTGGGATTGAGGTAGAAACCTGGCTCACCCTATTTCTTTCCTTTATAGGTTCCTGGTGTTACACGGAGCCATACTGTGGTAAGAAAAACAGAGATACTTTTCCTTTTGACCCCCAGATCACAAGTCATATTTAGTCTCAGCCAGGGATCGTCCAATGCATTTAAATTCCAAAACTCAGCTTTGAGAATGTATCTCATCCCATGGCTTTACTCTGTAGTAAAAAAGAAAAAAAGAAAATCCTGTTCATATAATTTGCTAACTGTGAGCAGGATGCCCAGCAAAGATAGTAGCTTTTAGGAAAACTAGATTCCAGCTGCTTTTAAAAAAATGTATTTCTTTGACACTTCAAGTCTAATGACTATTCCTTTTTGGGGGTATTGTTGGGAAGGTCCTAAAACCTGGATATCCCTTGGTCATTGCAACGGCAAGAGACAGTCACCCATCAACATTATTCAGAGAGAAGCTTCCCACAACCCCAGTCTGGGTCCTGTGGATATTGTTGGTTATGACAGCCGCAAAAAGCTGCTGGAAATCAGAAACACTGGGAAAACAGGTGAGTTAGAGTGTTGTTTTTTTCAGAAATTTTATTAAGATTATCATGATATAAAATACAAGTGAAAATAAAGAGAGTAGGGAAAGGGGAAGAAAGGAGAAGTGTAGAGTAAAGGGGAAAAGAAAAAAGAAGCATTGATTTTCAATTATTTTCTGGACAGTAAAATACAAAATAGAATTACTATATAGTCTCAACTTTTATTTTACCAATATAACAAACACTAGAGAGCCAGTTTGGTCCAATGGTTAAGACACCAGGCTAGAAACTGTGGGATTATGAGTTCAGATCCCATGTTAGGCATGAAACCAGCTGGGTCATCTTGGCCAAGCGCTAGAAGATTGCGAGTTCTAGTCCTGCCTTAGCCATGAAAGCTAGCTGCGTGATCTTGGCCCAACCCTTCTTATAGGGTTGTTATTATGGGGAAAATAGGAGAAGGAAGGCATATTAGGTATGTTTGCCGCCTTAAGTTATTTGTATAAGTAAAGGCAGGGACAAATAAACAAATAAAATACTAGCCATTTATGTAACAACAAACTAGATTACTCAGCAAAACCCAATTCCAACAATTTATTTTGTTCTGCCTCGAGCACAAAATCCATTAGTGGTCTCCAAGTCGAAACAAAGCTGGATATATTCTTTTCCCCAATTAAAAAAATCTATTTTGCCATCTCTGCTAGCCCCATCCCTTTTTCCATCCCTTCTTCTGTTGGGGGGGGGGGATTATGTGTCTTTCCTTTTCTTGCATAGAGAATTCTCATGTGCTCTTTTAAAATCAAAACATTTCTAGTCTTTAAGATAGGAGCAGGAGCGAGGGAAAAAGCAACTCCAATCAAACAGCCAAAATGCAAGAAAAAACACCTCTGACAGACTTTGCACATTGTGTGCTAGGTCCATTCCCTAGCAGTGTGGAAATGTATGTGCTGCACTTATGGGCTGTTCCAATCGCTAACCACTCTGAGTTTCAGATAGCTTGGGGGACCATTCAGATTGTTTGGGGGACAATCAGATTGCATTATGGAATGCAGGGGAAAAGATGGAGGGACTACAGCAAGCGAGAATTTTAACAGTTGACAGTTAGAGGAAGGAAGGGGAAGCAGGGTCAAAATGGATTTGATGCTCTTGGGTTATTGTTGGTTTGGTTCTTCCAATTGAACTCTTGGTAACCAGGATCAATTCCCTGCAGACTACATAGAAATCTTTTCCGCCATTGGTTTGCTCAGCAAGAGTGGCTGGCCTAAAGTGTCCCAACTGGCCTATGCCAAGACTAGAATTCATAGTCACCTAGCTTTGGAACTAACTCCTTTAATCACCGCACCAAACTCTCTCTCTAAACGTTAGATTAGAAACCCCATGATCCCTTGGCTCTAGTTGCATTCATGCCAGGAATGGCTTTAGTGTAAATTTCTCTGCATTGTTCTTCAGAAATTAGCAATCTTGTCCACTGTGAATGAAATGATGAGTGAGTTTAGATGGAAGTCTCTGAAGAGTGAAAAAAAAAAAAAAAACATCTAAATTCCTGCCAAGAAAACTGCATGCAGGGGCCTGAATTTAATTTGAAGGGGTGTTGACTTTCCTCAATGGATTTACTCCTACGGCATTGTGCAAAGGAGTGTTGGTTATGAAGGGATGCAACTATTAGCAATGCAGCGATTATCTTTTGATGTTTGTTTTTGCACAGTTGTTGTAATTTGCAAGCATATTACTCAAGGAGGTGGAGGAACAAAGCATTTCTCCCATCAGGTTGAGTAATGATGCTCTTTGCTGATGCATTAGAAATTCTTAAGAAAAGGCACATTTCCACAAACGAGACCTCATGCACCAAGTAGAAATAAACGTAAGACTCCAATCTTTGGTTTGAAAGTTAAGAAAATGAATATAAAATGCATGGTCATTTTACTTTCAAATAGGTAAGGTCATAATCCATCAAACACATTTAAATCATTCTCTGTACTGTCTGTCTGTCTGTGTGTGTGTGTGTGTGTGTGTGTGTGTGTGTATGTGTATTTTCTCCATTCAGCTACTAGACCACAGGTAGGGAACCTTGGCTCTTTTATGACTTGTGGACTTCAACTCCCAGAATTCCTGAGCCAGCATGGCTGAGCTTGGAAACTCTCCCTTTCCCTCACCATGGCTGGCTCAGGAATTCTGGGAGTTGAAGTCCACGAGTCGTAAAAGAGCACCAAGGTTGCCTACCCCTGAACTAGACCATTGTGTAAAATTACATAGCCACTTTCTGTAACTCAGTGGTCACTGATGCTTACAACATCTAGAATTCTCAGTTGTTCTTGGCTGGGAATTTTGGGAGTCGTAGTTGCAGCCTCTGGTAAATGTAGGATGGGGAAAACAGGCAAATCAGATCAGATGAAAGCCTCAGAAATTGTACCGTTCTTACAGGTAATCCTTGACTTATGACTGTTCATTTAATGACGGGTTGTAGTTATGATGGCCTGAGGAAAAAACGACTTACAACTTGTTCTTGAAGTAACAACTGTTGCACCATCCCCGCAGATCATGTCATCACAATTTGAGTATTGACAACTGGCTCGCATTTACAACAGTTGTGGACTCTGGCAGTCAAATGATTGTGATTTGCAATCTTCCCAGCTATTCTTCCGACAAGCAAAATCAGATGGGGAAGCTGGATTTGCTTAACACCCCAGTGCTTTGCTTAACAACTGCAGCAAAAATGATTGTACGATCAGGGCCAGTCACGTGATGATTTGCTTAATAACGGCATTGTTTAATGCCTGAAATTCCCACTTCAATCCCATGGACTGAAAAGTCCCATTTGTAGTCATAAATCGAGGACCAATTGTATTTTCAGCCGCACTGGCTAGCATAACTGATTCTCATCATAGCAGTTAGCTCCGAAGTGGGCAACTTTATTTGACCGGTGGACTTCAGCTCCCAGAATTCCTGAGCCAGCATGGCTGGCTCAGGAATTCTGGGAGTTGAAGTCCACCAGTCGTAAAGTTGCTATAGTTGGCCACTCCTGATTTAGCTCAAAGGAAAGCAAACTTGGACTCTTGAAATGCTTTGGACTAAACTCCCACACTCAAAAGCCTCCAAAGGTTGAAGACCTGATCTAGAATGCTGAGAACAGAGCTGGATTTTTCGTCTCTCTTTAATCGGCAGTTGACATATCCCTGGAAGATGGTCTTTACCTCGCTGGTTTTGGCCTTCCTGCCCGATATACAGCCAAATCCTTTCACCTTCACTGGGGAGACGGCGCCTCGCAACCCGGCTCGGAGCATCAGATTGATGGCAAACAATACTCGATGGAGGTGAGCCTCAGATATCCCAGCCGACTTACACAATGTTCTCTTTTTTGTGTGCCCCCAAAAGAGTCTTCTGGTCCTGCTTCAGTATAGCAGAGTGATGGCGAGCCTTTTAGAGACCGAATGCCCAAACTGAAACCCCAAACCCACTTATGCATCGTCGGGTGCTGGGTGGGTGTGGCCCATTGGTTGGGTGTGGCCAATTGGGTGGGCGTGGCTACGGTGGTAACGGCAGACTGGGTGGGACTAAAAAGTTCAATCAATCAATTCCAACTTTGCAAGATTTTTTTTTCCCGCAAGAAGTTGAAATTGACTGATTGATTGAACCTTTTTTGTGTGTACACGGCGATGAAGGCCTAAAGTGAAAAGGTTTTATAAAACCCAGCTGAAGGCCTAGGACTGGGGTGACGGCGTGCGTGCCCACAGAGAAGGCTCTGAGTGCTGCCTCTGGCACCCATGTCATAGGTTCGCCATCACTGTTATAGCATAAGCCTGTGGTGGCAAACCTATGGCACACATGCCACAGGTGGCACGCAGAGCCCTCTCTGTGGGCATGCGCACCATCGCCCCAGTCCTAGGCCTTCAGCTAGGTTTTATAACCTTGTCGCTTTAGGCCTCCGCTGCCGTGTGCAAAAAAAAAAAGGGTTCAATCAATCAATCAATTTCAACTTCTCGCGGGGAAAAAAAAATATCTCGCAAAGTTGGAATTGATGGATTGAAATTTTTAGTCCCACCCAGTCTGCCGTTACCACCGCAGCCACACCCACCCAATTGGCCACTCCCAGCCAATGGGCCACACACACACAATGGGACATGCCCACCAGGCACCCGACGATACATAGGTGGGTTTTGGGTTGCAGTTTTGGCACTCAGTCTCTAAAAGGTTCTCCATCACTGGCACAAGCAATTGTTTTAGCTGCTGCAGATTACAAGTAGTCCTCAACTTACAACTTACAACCATTCGTTTAGTGACTCATGACCGTTTTTCACAGTCACGTAATCAAAATTTGGACACCTGGCATGTATTTATGATGGTAGCAGTGTCCCGGGGCCATTTGATCCTCTTTTATGACCTTACCCCAGTTCATTTAGTGACCGTTAAAAGATACAACAGCACTAAAAAAAGCGACTTATGACCGTTTTTCATACGACCGTTGCAGCATCCCCAGGGTCACGTGATCAAAATTCAGACACTTGGCAACTGACTCATATTTATGACGGTTGCAGTGTCCTGGGGTCATGTGATCCCCTTTTTACGACCTTCTGACAAGCAAAGTCAATGGGGAAGCCAGATTCACTTAATAACTCGGGCAAAAATGATTGTAAAATGGAGCATAACTCAACGTCTTGCTTAGCAACAGGGATGTTGGGCTCAGTTGTGGTCGTAAGTCGAGGATTATCTGTAAAAAGATTAATCCTCTGGAAATTTGTCTGAGGCTTGGGAAAATCGATCGCTTTCAGGACTGAGTTTGCTGTGCTGCAATTTCTGAAAATTACTGTCCCTCTTCCCGTTAGAGCTTTTCCACAGAATATAGGAATCTGCAATATTTTAGGGACTGAAGCCAGATCTGGAATACAGCCGCAGGCACATTTCCCAAATTAAATGGAGTTAGTTCAAAGATTCAATTAAATGTATAGTTTAAAATCACATTAATTGCATTGCATTGGTGCAGTTAAGTTCCATGTGTTTTATAGTTTCTATGGCATTCAAAATAGCAACTTTACTGGTAGCTTCTGGAACTGTGTTGGGGACTGTATCTTAGATTCCTGAGGGCCACACGGGACCTCAACTTTCACATCTCCAGTTAGAGCTGCAGCATCTATCACAGCTTGGTTGCATATAGCAACTTTCCCCAATGTGATGTCCCTCATGTTGAATAGACTTCAAGAGTCAGGGCTTAAGACGCCAAGTTAGAAACTGGGAAATTGTGAGTTCTAGTCCTTCTTTAGCCATGAAAGCCAGCTAGGTAACATTAGGCCAGTGTTTCTCAACCTTGACAATTTTAAGGCATGTGGACTTCAACTCCCAGAATTCCACAGCCAGCAATGCTGGCTGTGGAATTCTGGGAGTTGAAGTCCACATGCCTTAAATTGTCAAGGTTGAGAAACACTGCATTAGGCCAATCACACTGTCTCAGCCCAATCTGCCTCACAAATTGTTGTTATGGGGAAAAGAGGAAGCAGGAGGGTTAATTGCCAATAGTTGGTGGGATAAAAATGTAATAATAAATAAATCTTGAAGGGGAATTGTGGGAATTATTATTCAGTACACCTAGGGGGCAAATTGAGAGCCTGTTTGGTCTACTGGTTAAAACACCAGGCTAGAAAGCAAGAGACTCTGAGTTCAAATCCCACCTTAGCCATGAAAGTCACCTGCCTGACCTCAGGCCAGTGATTTTCTCTCAGCCTAACTAGTCACATGGGGTTGTTATTGTGGGGAAAAGAGCAGGAGGAAGGTGTGTTGGATATATTTGCCACCTTGAATTATTTGTAAAAGTCATAAAGGCGGGATACAAATAAAGGAATTAAATAAAAATAAGGCTCTGGAGCTTGAACGATATATATCTCTGACACTGAGATTCCAAGGAGAAACACAGATCTCACAAAATCTTTGTGTTCTCTCTTCAGTTGCACATCGTACATACCAAGAACAACATGAACATGGCGGATGCTGTGAAGGATCCAAAAGGCATCGCAGTGCTGGCATTTTTTATCGAGGTGAGCCGCCAGTCCAAACCAGATACGTTGATCAAATATGCCAATCTATAAAAAGTCAAGTGGTAAGATAAGGAAAATATTTACACAAATGTACAGAAAGGCTGAAATCATGGAGGAAATTTTTTCCCCAACAGAAAAATTTACAGTTAGTAAATGCTCTGGCCAGGCCAAATGTCTGCAGGTAGTCCTCGACTTACGACTGATTCAAAGTTATGACGGATCTTCCCAAAAGCTGTTTACAACACTGGTCTGAACTTCAGATCTCCACCACCATCCTGCAGTCATGTGATCACATTTTGGGCATTCATCAACCAGCCTGCATTTATAGCCATCTGCAGTGCCCCTTGATCACATGACCATTATTTATAATCTTTTTGCCAAACAGCATTTACTACTTATTTCCACAAAAACCACCCCATAGCAAACAAAGAGTTCATTTAATGACTACTGCATTTAATGACTGCCATAACATTTTTTGTAAAATCAGGTCTGGTGATGGAGTAACCTGCTTTATAATACAATTTATGGCCGAAATTACTTGCTTAATTACAGTCATAAATCAAGAACTACCTGTATGGGAATTCATCCTGTCAGAGAAGTGGATATGAAAATCTTTGTATTTTTCCCATTGATTAATTGATCCAAAGTGAGGGAATCAATAGTTTTGCAATTTTGAAGAAGAAACTAAAAGAAAATTTAAAAAAAAAGACAAAAGCAATTAATCTGATTCTCAAGATATGTTTTGATTCTGTGCTTTTTTTCTCTCTCTCTGCTCCCAACCACCATTTGTCCGTAATGTAAATAAAAGAGATGAGTAAAATTTATTTCCCCTACAAACTATACATCATTTCCCCAATTGGTGTGAAATATCATCTTAAGAAGCACTTTTAGGGTTGACGGGTGGCTGTTACCATATATACTATCAACATTTCAGTTACAATAAGTTGCATTTAAGGCTCTTAGATTTGCATTGCAAAACTAGAGACCACTGCTAGGTGGCAGCAAGCAGATACCAAAAAGTAGCTTTACCAATCCAGTATTTTTTTACTGTAAATTTCATAATATAGCAGTACGCTATCAGCAATGTCAATCAAGAATGCCTCCCCATGTTTATGGTTTTGAATCTAAATCTGATGAAGGATGGAAGGCTGGAAACATTTGGTTAGGGGAAGAGAATATTCAATGTCTAAATTTGTTTCATCCCCAAATTTTTGACTGTATGGAGGAGAAACACTGGCAGGGTCAGGGGGAGGAGTGAAAAGAGGGGTAAGTCTAGAACGGGTATGCAACCTTGGCTCTTTTATGACTCGTGGACTTCAACTCCCAGAATTCCTGGGAGCTGTGCTGGCTCAGGAATTCTGGGAGTTGAAGTCCACGAGTCATAAAAGAGCCAAGGTTGCCTACCCCTGGTCTAGAATCTCTATGTAGGTACAAATGAACTAAGTCTAACTGCCCTTCACTGTCATTAATCCTTATTTAACTCCAACATGGTGTTGAAAAGATTCTTGTGCATAGGCTTTTAGCAATAAATCAGTTAATTTCAACCTTCATGCCTGACCTGGTCTTTCATGCCTGCCTTCCTATTCTTTCCTCCTTTTTCTCAGGGATTTGAGAAGGCTAAGAGCAAAACTGCAGAGGCATGGGAACTGTTTGCCAAGAACCTCAAAAAAGTTTCGAAAAAAGGTAAGTTTGTCGGATTTCTGGAGAGATATTTGGATCTTCTTGTCTCTCTAAGACTCCATAGTGGCTTCCATGATGAGCTGGAAAATGGAGGCTTCCACTTTGCAACCGGCATCATCCAGTGGGCTGGTTGCTCCAACCATTTCCCCACCTTGTCCTGACATGCCTTTCTAATGACTTGCTAATCTTAAAAAAAATCAAAGTAGATAAAATAAGCAACCTAGATGACCCAACCTACATAAGCAGGGATTAATACAATCAAGCAGAATACAATGCCCTAATCAAGAAACTACCAAGGAGATAAAGAAACAAACAAACAATCAAACAGAAAACCACACCCTAATCAAGGAACTACCAGAGAAAAAAGGCACACCCCATCAACATTGATAGGGCAAGTATATAAACAGGGAGCAAATTCAATTTCACTGATGAGGCTACCTAGTTGGGTAGTGAAAGGTCTGCAAACAAACAACCGAAGCTCAAAGAGCCTCAGGGACTCCACGAAATTTAAAGTCCCAGTCACAGAAGAAGACTTTGTTTCTCTATCTGCTGATTTAGTGCAATTATCTATCCTGTCTCTCTTCTAAGGCAGGGGTCTCCAAATGTGGCAACTTTAAGACTTGTAGACTTCAACTCCCAGAATTCCTCAGCCAGTCATGCTAGCTGAGGAATTCTGGGAGTTGAAGTCCACAAGTCTTAAAAAATACCACATTTGGACACCCCTGCTCTAGGGACATCAACGATGATACGTATTTCCTGCCCCCTCCATATTAACCTCATAACAGCCTTGTGAGGATGGATGGGCTACAAGCTATTAATTGATAGATAAAAACCTAAATCACCCTACTAGATTGGACTCCATCTAGTCCAGCATATTGTTCTCCCAGTGGTTAACCAAATGCACAAGGAAACCCATCGGTCTCCCAGCAGATGGCAATCAGAGGCAGTCCTCCTGTGCCGAAGGCTAATAGACATTGGTCTCCATCGCTTCCATGAACTTGACCGACCTTTTTTTGGAGCCCTTGAGGAACTGAGGCAGAAGGTGCCTCTGGAGAGCTTGTGCAGGAAGTTGGTGGCTAGAGAGAGACATCAGTGTGAGTCAGCAGGAATATGCAACATCTCCCAACAAGTTTCAGGGCTGGTGGAATCTGATCCCACGTCTCTTCAGTCCTAATGTGATGTTCCACAATTACTACTGCAGGGATCTGTACCTCTCTCAGGCTATAGATGCCAACACAGGTGTGATTCTATACATGGAACTCTTCCAATTCCCACATTTGTATCACCACCAACACCAAATTCAGGCAACCTCACCAAAGCTACAAGCTTACATGAGGTGCTTGTTGCTTGTTTGTTTATTTTGCAAGACCTTCTGAATTTCAGGTTGATCACATGAAATTCTAAACTTTATTTTAAAAAATAAAGTGTTTTGCATTTTACTGGAATTTGGATAGCATTAGAAACTATCTTCCACACAGAGATTGGGACAAGGTTCTCAGTCCTAATCAACTTTCCATTTTTTTCTCTTTCACAGTTAGTGGGAAAAGAGACTTGAAAATAATTCAGTTGGGCAAGTAAGGCATAACTACTTTTCCTCTGATTCCTGAACAGGGGAAAGTGTGCGTCTTGAGAGCTCTTTTTCTCTGCTGGATTTGATGGGTTCCACTAACCTGACCCGTTATTACCGCTACCCTGGATCTCTCACCACCCCTGGCTGTGACGAGGCTGTGGTATGGACTGTCTTTGCTGACCCAATTCTGGTCCCTCCTAAAGTGGTAAGACTACAGCTGCAACAGGGCAGGAACAAGCAGATCCACATCTGAAGAGTTCAATTAGCCATTTTATTGCTCAGGCTTATAGCACAGGAATCTTCTCAGACAGTTTGCACCTGAGTAAGACTAGATGAGGTTCAATGGCATTCAGGGGGGGGGGGCATCAGACTTTGCACTGTTATGTCCACAGGGATTCCAGACTAATTCCCTGTTTGACTCCTTCCCCTGGCTCAACCAATCTCTCTCCAACAAGCAGGAATCCAGCAGAAAAATCCATAAATTAATGAAAAAGTATGTGCAAGTGTGCAACTTACAACCACAATTGAGCCCAAAATGTCCATTGCTAAGCAAGACAGTTGTTAAGGGAGTTTTGCCCCATTTTATCATCTTTCTTGGCATAGTTGTTAAATGAATTGCTGCAGTTGTAACATGGCTGTGAAGTGAATGTGGTTTCCCCATTGATTTTGTGGGTTAGAAGGTTGCAAAAGGTGATCATATGACCCCAGGGCACTGCAACCATCATAAATACATGCCAGTTGCCGAGCGTCCACATTTTGATCACATGGCCACAAGGATGTCTGAAAAACTGTCTTTTTTCAGTGCCATTGTAACTTCACACAATCATTAAACAAATGGTTGTAAGTCAAGGACTACTTGTATATTAAAAAATGTGGATCTTTCATCATATGCTTGTGGGCACCATTTTGACTTATTTGACCTCCTTCTCCCCAAAGACCCCCACCCCGAGCATGTTTCTCCCTCTGATCTTCTCTCAAAATGGGGATTTGAGTCTTTGCCCTCCTGACTCAGCCAAATCAAATCTGTCATGAAATTGGTACTTCCTGGGGCTAATCCATTTCCTGTTGCTTTTTTTTTTGTTTGTTTGTTTTGTTTTAAGTGACTGTGCGCCTGACTTTTCTCTGACATAATTTTACAAATTTTATGTGCCTTATATGGTAAGAAACATATTTTGACATGGAGCAACTAAGGATGATAAGTGCATGTTGTTCATGGCCTGGAGATGAAGTAACATGGCTGTATGAGCAGTCAAAGGATGTTGACAAAGGATGCTGTGGTTGTGTGCAAGACAAGCAATGCTTGTGGTTTTGACATTAAATTGGACTCTTTGCTCCACCAAAGAATTACAGGTAGTCCTTGACTTACAACCAAAATTTCCATTGCTAAATGAGACAGTAGTTCAGTGAATAGTGCCCCATTTTTACAACCTTTCTTGCCACAGTTGTTAAGCGAATCACTGCAATTGTTCAGTTAGTAACACAATTGTTAAATGAATCAAGCTTCCTCATTGACTTCGCTTGTCAGAAAGTTGCAAAAGGTGATCACGTGGCCCTGGAACACTGCAACCATCATAAATATGAGCCAGTCAACAGCATCCGAATTTTGATCATTTGACCATGGGGATGCTGCAATGGCAATAAGGGTGAAAAACAGTCATAAGGCAGTTTTTTCAGAGCCTTTGTAACTTCAAACAGCCACTAAACAAATGGTTGTAAGTCAAGGACTACCTCTATAGTAGGCAATCAGTTCCATTCACTATTTAAAATAACTGTTTTGATTTCTCTTGATGCATTTTAGTGATCAGAAACCCTGCAGCTTAAAAGAATAACAGTTGGAAGGGACCTTGGAGGTCTTCTAGTCCCACCCCCAGCTGAAGCAGGAAACCCTATACCATTTCAGACAAATGTTTGTCCAATCTCTTCTTAAAAACCTCCAGTGTTGCAGCACCCACAACTTCTGGAGGCAAGTCATTCCGCTGGGTGATTGTTCTGTCAGGAAATTTCTCCTTAGTTCTAGATTGCTTCTCTTCTTGATAACTTTCCGTCCATTTCTTCTAGTCCTGCCTTCAGGTGCTTTGGAGAGTAGGTTGAGCTGCTCTTCTGCAGCCCCCCAAATATTGGAACACTGCTATCATGTATTTCTTGCTATCATCTCCTCTCCTCTTTCTTTCAATAGGTGAAGAAATTTACTTCAGAGCTCTCGTCTACGAAGGCTTCAAAGGAACCCCAGCTACCACTAATAAACAACTTCCGTCCCCTACAGAAGATTAGAGATCGGAAAGTGGAGGCATCTGATGCTTTGAAGTCTTCAGCTGCCTGTTTTGTTTCCCCCCCAACTATATTCATCCTCTTCCTTTCTATCGCCACCTTTCTACAATTCTTCTCCGTATAAGGAAGGATGGCAGGAGCGAACCATGTGGACTTGCAGTTCCCGAGAGGTCACAGCTAGACTATCACCTTTCTGCCCTGTACAAGTTCCATTTTTACCTCCTCTTAACCCTCAAGCAGCTTATTCAGGGGCAGAGGCCCAGAAAAATAAAGTCCAAAATTCAGGAGGTGACTAAGAATCCCATCAGTCAAGGAATTTCGGCTAGTCCAGGAGAAGAGCCTTTTCTGCTCTGGTCCCCACCATCTGGAATATTCTCCCCTTGGAAGTGAGGTCTCCCCCCAGACTCTTGGCCTTCCAGAAGAATCTGAAAATTTGGCTCTGACACTTGACTTGGGGCCACGACAGGGGCCTACTACGTTGGGGGTGACTGACTGAGTCACCCGCTATCTTGGTTTTTTAGCTTTCTATTTAATTCTCCTAATTTTAATTGCTTTGTATTGTCTTTTTTATTGTACTTTTTATTCTAATGTAAGTTGCCCAGAATCACTGTATCAGCGAGATGGGTGGCATATTAAACAAACAAACAGGTAAATAAATAAATGGAAAAAGAAATACAGAAAAACTGGAAGGAGGCTAATATTGCTTGACCGAATCACTGGGGTAAGGTGCTGTATGCCACGTTAAAGCCAAACCTGAAGTGAAACGCTCCATGTAAAGCCAGGTATTATCGAAACCAGTAGATCCCTCATTTTCAAAAAGATGTTAGTTTTTCTAAGATCAGAGAGATAAAATACATGGTAGACAGATGATGAGGGAGGGAGGGAGAGGGAGAATGAGAGAGAGGGAGGGAGGGAGGAGAGAGAGAAAGACAAAGCGGGGAGAAGGTAAGAGATTCAGATATGGGTTTTCGGGTGGCTATCGTTTCATTTTTTTTAAACAATGAAAATCAGTTTTAGCTGCATTCATTAAAATACTCAACTAAGAACATTCACAATGGTGGTGACTTTGGCTCCGTCCATCCCGCACATCACAAGCGCTACAGAGAAATTCCCATCTTCTCCTTGTTCCAAATGCCACACCTTTGTTTTCTTCCACAGAGCAGTACATTCAGCTGATGCTGAGGCAGTTCTGCAAGGCAACTTAAGCTGCTTATCTCGTTGGCTAATGCCAGCTGGAAATGAATCAAACTTTTGTGATTGCTCCACAGGTTTCAATCATGCACCAGGTTTGGCAATGATGCTGGCCAGGAGTTTCCCTCAGGCCCGTCCCAAGTGGAGGCTCTCCTGTTTCTTTATAATGACAATCATTGCTGGGACAAGGAAGTCCAGAAACTCTTCCATTTTTTGGAATTGGGGGGGGGGGGAGAAGAGCTATGAACTTTCCTGTGATCCTTGATTCCCGCCTGGACTGAATCTCCTCTCAACCAAGCAATGGTTAGCCATAAGCATTGGAAAGATCTGTTAGCCCCGTGTGCCTTGCCCAAATGGAATCTGAGCCGGAAATATAAATTAATACAGATAGTCTAGTGTTCCAGTATCTGAGGGGCTGCCACAAGGCAGAGGGGGCCAGGTTGTTCACTAGACCACCAAAGGGAAGGACGAGAAACAATGGTTGGAAACTGATCAAAGAGAGAAACAAACTGGAATTGAGGAGAAACTTTCTGACAGTGTGGACTAGCGGAACAGCTTACCCCCAGAAATCATTGGAGACTTTTAAAAAGAGGCTAGACAGTCACCTTTCTGAGATGGTACAGGTACAGGTTCTCCTGCTTGAGCAGGGGGCTGGACTAGAAGACCTCCAAGGTCCCTTCCAGATTCTATTCTATTCTATTCTATTCTATTCTATTCTATTCTATTCTATTCTATTCTATTCTATTCTATTCTATTCTATTCTATTCCTGCAACTGATCCCAACATTTCCATTGCTAAGCAAAACACTTGTTAAATGAATTTTGCCCCATTTTATGACCTCTCTTGCCACAGTTATTAAAGTTAGTACACAGTCGTTAAGTGAATCTGGCTTCCCCATTGACTTTGCTTGTCAGAAGATCTCAAAAAGTGATCACATGACCCCGGGACACTGCAAATAAATGCCAGTTGCCAAACATCCAAATTTTGATCATGTGGCTGCAGAGATGCTGCAACGGTCTTTAACTGAAAAATTGTCACAATAAGTCACTTTTTTACAGCATCACTCTAACTTCAAATGGTCACTATATGAACGGCTGTAAATGGAGGACTATCTGTATTTCTTTATTTAAGTACACAAGGAGAGGCATCTCACCCAAAAAGAGGGAAAGAGAACAAATTAGAAAGGTAGAGAATCACTTTATTCAATTTCAAACATACAGTGGTATCTTGGTACTCGTCCTTAATTGGTTCCGGGAGCCGTGATGAGCACAAAAAACGATGAATACCAAACAAATTTTTCCCATAAGGAATAATGTAGCGAGTCACAAGGGACCCGACATCAACAAGTTCTAGCTTGTGTGTTGAGTACCAAACAAACGATGAGTACAGGGACAAAAATGCACTGAGTACTAAATTCGATCAGTTTCAGAGACGCTGAGTACTGAGGTACGACTGTATTATGTTGGAATGAGTTTTTTTCCTTGGTTGACCTCATCTGACTCATTTATAATAGAGCACGCACGCTCAGCAACTTTATATGTACCATGTAACACTTCATTGCAGCCCATAAAACTTTGAGTATGCTCATCATATTCAGGAGGCGTGGCTGTTACGTTACGATGAATTTGCAAATTACTGGAGTTCAGATTTACCTGCGAACTAGAAACATCAATCAAAGAAACTCCTAAGTACTGAAAACATTACTCAGAGAGCTCCACCCCACTTCCTGCTGCCATCAGACCCTTTTTTACCTTTCTTTGGGTTAAAAAAGGAATTGAGCAGACTCCTTACGAATTTCACCTGGGTGCAGATAGGAAGTTTGCCTCTCACCCTTTTATTAGGGAAGTAGAAGAAAGTAACAGAAAGTTAGATGTATCTGTTTTTTTTTTTTAAAAAAAGAAAGATGTTCAGCCCTGGATGAAATGGCCACGGAGGATGTGACCAGAAAGAAGGGTCTGTTCCTGCCATAATGAAGAACTGAGATGTTTGCCAGCAAGTCAGGGTGGCTCAGCTGGAAGACCACATTGTACCAAGTTTGTGCTGGCAAGGTAGCAAAACCTGCTTTTAGTCTGGAGCAAGACAAGTTAGGCAGAAATTGTCTTCACCAAATGCTGGAGTCGGATTATTACCTCTAACGTGGTAATAATAATAATAATAATAATAATAATAATAATAATAATAATAATAATAATAATAATAATGCCTTAAGGACAAATGCATACAAAGTCAAAATTGAGAAGACAGCAACAGACAGTAAGTGCCGCCTATATAAAGAAGCTGAAGAAACAGTGGACCACCTGGTAAGCTGTTGCAAGAAGATTGCACAGACTGACTACAAGCAGCGGCATGACAAAGTAGCAACAATGGTGCATTGGAAGATCTGCAAAAAATATCATTTGCCTGTAAGCAAAAACTGGTGGGATCATAAAATAGAGAAAGTCATAGAAAATGATAAAATTAAACTGCTCTGGGACTTCAGAATTCAAACAGACAAGCACCTGCAACATAACACCCCAGACTTAACAATTGTCGATAAGAAAGACAAAAAAGTCTGGATAGTGGACGTGGCAGTGCCTGGAGATAGCAGAATAGAAGAGAAAGAACTGGAGAAGATAACAAAATACAAAGACCTACAAATAGAAATAGAAAGACTGTGGCAAAAGCAAGCAAGGGTAGTACCAATAGTAATAGGCTCCTTGGGTGCAATCCCAAAACAACTGGAGCACCACTTGAACACCATTGGCATTGACAAATTCGCCATTAGTCAATTGCAAAAGGCGGCCTTACTAGGAACTGCTTCCATCCTGCGACGATATCTGTAATATCATCAAACATCCACATCTGCCTATCCCAGGTCCTGGCTAAGGACTCGATAGATAGACAAAATGCCAAATCCAGTCTGAACATCTGGCTGACTGTGCGATGATCAATAATAATAATAATGATGTTGGAAGGGACCTTGGAGGTCATTGAGTCCAACCCCCTGCTCAGGCAGGAAACCCTACACCATTTTGGACAAATAACTGTCCAGTCTCTTCTTAAAAACTTCCAGTGTTGGAGCATTCACCGCTTCTGGAAGCAGGTTGTTCCATTGGTTAATTGTTCTAACTGTCAGAAAGTTTCTCCTTAGTTCTAGGTTGCTTCTCTCCTTGATCAGTTTCCATCCATTGCTTCTCGTCCTGTCTTCAGGCGTCTTGGAAAATAGTTTGATTCCCTCTTCTTTGTGGCAGCCCCTGAGATATTGGAAGACTGCTATCATGCCCCCCCCCGCCCGTCCTTCTCTTTGTTAAACTAGATATACCCAATTCCAGCAACCGTTCCTTATATGTTTTAGCCTCCAGTCCCCTAATCATCTTTGTTGCTCTTCTCTGTACTCTTTCTAGAGTCTCAGCATCTTTTTTACATCGTGGTGACCAAAACTGGATGCAGTATTCCAAGTGTGGCCTTACCAAGGCATTATAAAGTTGTATTAATACTTCACGTGATCTTGATTCTATCCCTCTGTTAATGCAGCCTAGCACTGTGTTGGCTTTTTTGGCAGCTGCAGCACACTGCTGGCTCATATTTAAATGATTGTCCACTACGACTCCGAGATCCCTCTCATGGTTACTACTATTGAGCAAGGTACCCCCTGCACTATACCTGTACATTTGGTTTTTCTTGCCTAAATGTAGAACCTTACTTTTTTCACCATTGAATTTCATTTTGTTAGATAGCGCCCAGTGTTCAAGTCTGTCCAGGTCCTCCTGTATCTTAAGCCTGTCTTCTGGAGTGTTGGCTATTCCTGCCAGCTTGGTGTCATCCACAAATCTGATGAGTTCCCCATCTATCCCCTTGTCCAAATCATTGATGAAGATGTTGAATAGCACTGGGCCTAGAACAGAGCCCTGGGGCACCCCACTACACACTTCCCTCCATGTAGATGCAGTTCCATTGAGGACCACATGCTGAATACGGCTGGTCAGCCAACTACGAATCCATCTGGTGATGATGCTGTCTAACCCACATTTTTCTATCTTATTGAGTAGTAGGTTGTGATCTACTTTATCAAATGCCTTACTGAAGTCCAAGTGAATTACATCCACAGCATTCCTCTGATCCACTAGTTTTGTCACTTGGTCAAAGAATGCAATAAGATTT